AAAAAAAAAAAGAATGTGTTTGTGACTTTAACTAAGTATCACCATCTCACAATGCTGTGAAATTTATGTAATCACTTAATCACAATAAAAAAATTGCAAAAAAAATAAAGAAAAAAATACATTATACTCATGTATGAAAGGCATAACGAAACCTATTTGAAAAAGAGTTAAAGTGAGGTGCCAATGACTCATGCCTTCAATCCCAGCTACTCAGGAGGCTGAGATCTGAAGAGTGCCGTTAGAAGCCAGCCCATGACACTCTTCTCCAATTAACTACCAGAATCTGAAGTACAGCAGTGGTTCAAGTGGTAGAACACTAGAGCCATGAGCAAAAGCCCTGAGTTCAAGCCCTAGGACTAGTGCCCATGCACACGTGCTCATATACACTCGCGCGCGCGCACACACACACACACACACACACACACACACACAAAGACAAGGAAGAAGAGAGCCAGAAAACTTGGAATTGTCTTATATATTTTGTACTGTTTAAACAATAGAATAGTATATTTGTTATTCAGAAATAATGAAAAACAAATATAAAGTTTACCTGGCTGGACAAGTGGCTTTGTAGAGATGACAAGACCTGTTTTCCTGCTCACTAATTTTTTTTAACTGGAAACCTTTTCTCCTTGGCCCATACTGACACTCCATTACTACAGCTCTACTCCCTGTGAACCAAAAACCATTTTTCCTATTAATTCAAGTATCTGTTTTCTTGAGGCAGATTTTTAAAAAAACCTTAGTGTTGGCAATGTCAAAGACTATACTGTTAATTTTACAAGTTTAGGGAAAGAAAACATTGGTATGTCTAATTAAAGATGTATAAACACATAAATTTAAAGCTTTGTTGCAAAATTTACCAAACGGATCATCTATGGTAAGAAAATTATCAAGTATCACACATTTACTGATTGAATCTAGGGCAAGTACTATATTACTAAGCTATATGCTCAGCCTTAAGTAACTTCTTATTAACCTCAGAGGTCCAGATAATACTCCAGCTACATTAATGCCCTCGTGTGTGTGGAAATAAACCACTCATTTTAGGTTTGTTAGTGTCTGACTAGTTCTCTAATACATCTCAATGGATTGCTTGAATTTCTAATGCCATAGTAAACACTAACCCAGTGTCTGGGATACTGCATGCAACATATCTGATGCTTGGCAACTTAATGTTAGAATTCTATATATTAACGCCAACTGTATATAAAGTCTATAAAATATCCCCACAATTATAGCATACACAAAATGGGAATACATTTGTCCTCTAAGACAAATTAAGAGAAAAGAAAATAATATTTGGATTGGAGGGGAGGAGCCATAATGTATAAGCATATTTAAAATAAGAAAATTGCCCTTTCATATTATTAAATAGATCTGTATGGAATTTCAATATTTTTATTTTTTATTTATAGGCAAAATACATAAAGCATTTGTCCACTAACATATTACAAATTAATTTTATAACAAAGTAATTTATCTTTCTTGTAAGTTTTCTTCTTAAATAGGCATTTTCAGCAATTAACATTCAGTTGTAACCTACCAAAATAAAAATGATCATCTCACTAAAAATTACATTTTCATAATGAACTATAGCTGTTTTTAAAATAATTCTTTTTAGAAGTACCTGCATTGACAAATGGGATTCCATCATATGGGACATACTGGGATTTCCACATCAGGCGGGTGGCAGGCTTGGCTGGACTTGGAGACTGGCGGGTCCCCCACACACTCTGTGTTTGCTGCTTGTGAAATGTTAGGATACTTTCTAATTCAGTCTCACTGACACAGTAGCCACGGTATGAATCACCAATTTTCTGCATGAAATAGTAATTAAAAAATAAAATCATAAGCAAATATGCTTCATTGCGCAAAAAATTGAATGAAACTATCATCGAAGATGAAAGACTTATCAGCTTTTACAAGGGAATGTCATTCATTTCCTTAGATCACTGGTCTATACAACCAATAGATCTCCTCTGAATTCAACTAGTATCATCAAATAGATGAGGGAATATAATAACAAATTCATTATCACAACATATCATAAACTTATGTGAGAGAAATAATTTATAAAGTAACTTCTTCCAGATATTTAAAATTCTATTCCTAGGGCTGGGTATGTGGCTGAGTGCTTGTGTAGCATGCATGAAGCTCCAGGTTCGATTCCTCAGTACCAAATAAACAGAAAAAGCCAGAAGTGGTACTGTGGCTCAAGTGGTAGAGTGCAAGGTTTGAGCAAAAGAAGCTCAGCAAAAGAAGCCCTGAGTTAGCCAGGATTGGCTAAATAAATAAATAAATATAAAATAAAATTATACTCCTGGATCAAATCAAGATCAGCATAAACCTAGCTACAAAGTACTGGTTTATATGGGGCTTCTAAAACCTGAGGTTGATATGATTCCGTAAGTCTATTTGAAACTCTGTAATTTCAAATTTGACTGTGAATGTTATCTCCTATGAAAATGTTGCAGAAAATTTACTCATTATATTAATATTAATATTCTTTTTATGAAAATCCTTCCCTGACAGAAATGCCTGTCTATCCTTAAGAAAAAAAAATGGTTGTTTGCTTTCACCTTATAGAAATTGGTTTAGCTGGGCGCTGGTGGCTCACGCCTGAAATCCTAGCTACTCAGGAGGCTGAGATCTGAGGATTGTGGTTCAAAGCCAGCCCGGGCAGGAGAGACTGTGAGACTCCTATCTCCAATAAACCACCAGAAAACTGGAAGTGGCGCTGTAGCTCAAGGGTAGAGTGCTCGCCTTGAGCTGAAGAGCTGAGGGACAGCGCCCAGGCCGAGAGTTCAAGCCCCACGACCAACAAATAATAAAAAAAAAAAGAAATTGGTTTAATTTCAATTACCTAATAGGCACAACAGAATTTAGTAACTACCTAGGGTTCTCCTTTTCACAATGAAGGTACTTAGATTATAGACAAATGTGTTTATGTTTAAATATACATATTACATTAATATTTAAGATGTATTTACCTTAACTTTAATGGTTCTATTCCTTTTCTTTCTAACACTGGAGTTTGAATTCAGGTGTTGTGCTTGTTAACTTGCTAGACAGAAGCTCTACCACTTGAGCAATGCTTCCAACCCACCTCTTTCTAGTTAATTTGGCAGTAGAGCATAGCAAACTTTTCTTACAGGGTGCCTTCAAACCACTATTCTCCAGATGTCAGCCTTCTGAATAGCTAAGATAGTGGTGCTGTAGCTCAAGTGGTAGAGCGCTAGCCTTGAGCTGAAAAGCTGAGGGACAGCGCTTAGGCCCAGAGTTCAAGCCCCACGGCTGACCAAAAAAAAAAAAAAAGAAGAAAATAAAAAGAAAATAAATAGCTAGGATTACAGGTGTGGCACAGGTACTCAGTTGTCCATTCTTGTGTTTCTTGACTCTTCAGCCCCATTTTTAATTCCTACTTTGTTAATGTATTTTACATAGGTATTTAGGTAGTCTTAAATTGTTTCTAAAACAAAAGTTATAAGTTATGAAAATAAATTGAATGTTATCTACACACAGCCACAGAAATATACTAAAGGAACAGCTTTTATTATATCAAAAAAGAAAATCCATCAGGTTTGGTGGCACACACCTATAATCACAGTGCTCAGGAGGTGGAGGCAGAAGAAGAAGTGTCTCTAATAGTGACTCCAAGGTCAGCCTGACCTATTTAAGAACACCCTGTCTCAAAACAAACAACAAAAAAGAAAAGAACAGGGAATGTGGCACATGGCAGAATGCTTGCCTAGCATGTGCAAGACCTGGGTTTGATATCTAACACTTCAAAACACAGGGAGACAGACAGACAGACACACATACACACACACACACACACAAAGATGATAATTTTTTTATTTCCAATTATTATTATAATTATTTGCAATAAAATGCACTAATAATTAGAATTAACTCCATTAACTCCTTGGAGGAAATAAGAACAAAGATGTTGGCACAGTGATTCTATATTCTCCTTAGATTAACTACTCTATCTTGGAAGAATACATTTAAAAAAGAAGAATATAATAACAAATTCATTATCACAACATATCATAAACTTATGTGAGAGAAATAATTTATAAAGTAACTTCTTCCAAATATTTAAAATACATATTGTGGCTGTATTTTGGTGATGATAAAAATAGAAAAATCTGATGCCAACCAATTTTATCTAAAATTTCCTCCAAAATTAACGAAAATGCTTTTATTTCAAATTTTCTTCCGACCTAAATATTTCTTTTTTAGAACATCTGTTATAAATAAAAGTAGGAATATAAAGCTTAACTGTTATAGTTTTTAGAAGGAAATGAACAAATGTTATAAAGAAAAAATTTAGAGTTAGTATATAATAAGGCCTATAACAGATAATCATTAACTAAGAATTAGAAATGAAAAAAGAATTAAAAAATAATATTTTAAAACAAAATCTATTAACAAAAAAGTTTTCTATAACTGATTTAGTTTGGAAGAGGAGAATGAATTCTTCACTGGAATAAATTAGTTTATTAGACACTTTTAAACATTTTCTTACAAAATGTATGATTTCAAGGTAAGCTACACAATGCAGCTTAGCTATAAAATAAAGTGATTTAGCACATGATTGTGAATGTTTTGTGAAGTTTATAATAATGACTTTGAAAAGCCTCATTAGCCAGGTGCAGGTGGCTCATGTCTATAAATCTCAACTACTCTGGGGACTGATACCTGAGGTTTGAAGCCACCCTGGGCAGGAAAGTATTGCCCAGGATGCTTATCTTCAATTAACCACCAAAAAGCCAGAAGTAAAGTTGTGGCTCAAATGGTTGAGCACTAAAAAGCTTGAGCAAAAAAGCTCAAGGACAGTGTCCAGGACCAGAGTTCAAGTCACAGGACTGGCACACAGAAAGAAAAAAAAAAGCCTTATCAATCAGAACAGTATCTTTAGGAAACTAATGAAAAAATCATCTTATGATAAGCAAAATAATGGGCGAAAAGTCTAATATACACATGCATAACACACGTGTACATATATATGTATACATATATAACATATCACTTAGAAGAGCCAGGTTCAGGGGCTCAATCCTATAACCCTAGCAACTCAAGAGGTGGAGACTAGGAATTGATATTTGGAACCAGCCAATATAAGATTCAATCTCAATTAACAGCTAGATGAAAAAGCACATTTCTCTCATTCTTAGCTACGGGATAGGCCAATGGCTAGGTATTATGGTGTGTACCTGTCATCAAAGAAACATGGGGAAACACAAAGAGGAAGACTGCAGTCTAAGCCAGTCTGTTCATAAAGCAACACCCTATCTCTAAAATAACCAAAGCAAAAGGAGACTGGTGTGGTGGCTCTCTGGAAGAGTGCCTGCCTACAAAGTGTATAGTCCTAAATTCAAACCCAACTATCAGAACAAAAAAAGAAAGAAAATGTCCTAAGAGATGCAACAACAAATGATGTGACATTGTAAGACATTGTTAAAAGTGTTACCAAAAAATTAAAATTGAGGAAATTTTTTCTTTCCCACAAATTAAGATGTTTAAGATAATAAAGCATTCTAATAAACATTCATTAGCATCTATGATTTATATACAAAGGAGGAATGGCCCTTCCCTAAAAAAAAATCTGTTGTCAAGGATCTCAGCACTCAGGAGGCTGAGGCAGGAAAATTATAAGATCTAGGCCAGGCTGGGCTATATATAAGAAAATCCTGCCTCAAAGATCAAAATAAGAAAAAAAAAAAAAAGGTCTGATTGGTAAATAATAATGAATAACTCAGGATAGCAAATAACTTAAGTGATAATAATAATATAATAATAAATAGCAAAAGGATTTAAAGAAATAGGTAAAAGTCAAAATAATCATTAGATAATTTACAGAAAAGATATGTATGACTTACATTGGGATTTGAAGGATCCCAATGGTCAGTAGAAGAAATAACATCTAGGTGATAGAAATTAAAATAAGTGAAGGCAGAGCTAAAGAAAGACTGGAATAGTGAAAAGTAGAAAGACAAAGTTAACAAGAATGAAAGATGAGTGAGAAAAGAGGAAAATAAAATAAGGCAAGATAGGACACCAGATGACAGGATACCTTGAACACTAGCTAAATAATGTGGAAAACATAACACTGAACTTATTGGTGAGAAAAGACAATGAAAGCAATATTTAAAGATGTAACTATGTCAGGGATTACTGTAATTTAATGTAAAGTAGGAAAGGTAGAGCTAGTTATACTTTAAAATGGGAGTTCTGGGATCAGGTATAACCAGTTAAATGCATTGAGATAAGGATTGTATTTTATTTTTTGGCTTGAACTCAGGGCCTAGGCACTATCCCTGAGCTCTTTTTGCTCAAAGCTAGCACTCTACCACTCTGAGCCACAGCTCCACTTCCAGATTTCTGGTGGTTAATTGAAGCTAAGAGTCTTATGGACTTTTCTGCCTAGGCTGTCTTTGAACTGCAATCCTCAGACCTCAATCTCCTGAGAAGCACTTTTAACTCACCTCACAGCTTCTAAGACGGCAGGCCCATATAGGTGTATTAGAAGAAAGTGGCTGAAGAGGAGCCAGCAAAGGTTCTTCAACCATTCTGGGATAGGGAGAAATATATACAAACATATAGTTATACACACATATATGTACTCATACACATACACAGAGCACTCAACTGTCAGAGATTGTTTGTTGTAAATAGCTACAAGTGCCTTCCTTATTGTCATTTTCTTTAATCAGTGGCATTTTATCAACTACTAAATCACAGATGTAAGTTTGTTCTTTCAGGTATATGTAGTCTCCCCAAGTTTAAATATTTTCTATATCTCCTGAAATTTACTTAGTATATTTCTCATTATATAATTATTTTACATTTATCAAAAAATGAGCTAATAGGAGCCAGATGCCAGTGGCTCACACCTGTAATCCTATACTCAGTGGTTCAAAGACAGCCTGGGCAGAAAAGTCCATGAGACTCTTTATCTCCAATAACCACCAGAAAACTGGAAGTGGCGCTGTGGCTCAAGTGGTAGAGCACTAGCTTTGAGCTAAAGAGCTGAGGGACAGCACCCAGGCCCAGAGCTCAAGGCCCTGAGTTCAAGCCCCATGACTGACGAAGAAAAAAAAAAGAACTAATAGGGGTGGGAATTGGCATAGTGGTAGAGTGCATGCCTAGCATGCATAAAGCCCTAAGTTCGACTCCTCAGTTCCATAAAAACAGAAAAAGCTGGAATGGCACTATGGCTTAAGTGGTAGAGTGCTAGTCTTAAGCAAAAAAAGCTCAGGGACAGTGCCCAGACCCTGAGTTCAAGTCCCAAGACTGGTACCTCCCCAAAAAAGATTAAACCAGGGCTGAAGGTATGGTCAGAGAAGGACCTGAGTTTAATCCTCAGTACCTGAAGTAAAAATAAAACTGTGTAATACAGAAAAGACAAAACCATTAAAATTTTAGGAATGGGCACATCTTCATTGTAACAATACAGTTAGATACTTAAGTATGTTTTAAAAGATGTTACATGTCACTGAGAAAGAGTAGCACTTCTGAGGTTTATAGCTACTAGAATAGCTTCCTTATTGCCAAATAGCATTAAAATAAATATATGTTTGATGAGAGTGTGTGTGTATGTGTGTCTGTCCTGGGACTTGGGTGCTGCTCTGAACTTTTTTTTATTAACATCTACCACCTGAGCCAGAAATCCATTTCTCAGTTTTTGGTAGTTAATTGGAGATAAAAGTCTTAAGGATTTTCTTTTTTTCTTTTTCTTTTTTTTTTTTGTCTGTTGTGGGGCCTGAACTCTGGGGCTGGGCGCTGTCCCCAAGCTCTTCAGTTGTAGACCAGCGCTCTACCACTTGAGCCACAGCCCCACTTCCGGCTTTTTCTGCTTATGTGGTGCTGAGGAATCGAACCCAGGGCCTCATGCATGCAAGGCAAGCATTTTACCACTGAGCCACCTTCCCAGTGCCTTTTTAAAAATTTTTACTTTTTGTGTTCAATGTCCTAGGTGTATCATACACTAAGCTTTTTTCTTTTCTTTTATTGTTGTTTGTGGGGCCTGAACTCTGGGCACTGTCCCTCAGCTCTTCAGCTCAAAGCTAGTGCTCTACCACTTGAGCCACAGTGCCACTTCTGGCTTTTTATGCTTATTTGGTGCTGAGGAACGGAACCCAGAGCCTCATGCATGCAAGGCAAGAACTCTGCCACTGAGCCACTTTACGAGCCCCTTTAAGGATTTTCTTGACAAAGCTGGCTTTGAACCTTGATCCTCAGACCTCAGCTTCCTCAGAAGCTAGGACTACAGGCATGAGCTACCAGTATACAGCTCTGCTGATGGTGTTTCATGCTTTTTTAATCTCAACTCTTTAATCAGCTAGCTTTAGATGTAACCATTTTAGAAAAGATTTCCATGGTGGTGCAAAAGATGAACTCATCTTTCTCATGAACTCACCTGGTCACTGACTTTTTGGGCAATGTGAGGGATGCTTGTGGATGAAGAATGTAACTACTGGTATTGTCTGCAAGATCATCTACAGTTGGTAGGTTATCACTGGGTTTCTCTTCAGAGACATCTTAACAAGAAGAACAAGAACCAAGCAACATCAGAATCTTAAATAACACCATTATAATGTACCTATCTAGAGCTTATATATACTAGAAAAAGAACTACTCTGAAATTAAAGACAATAAAATTTAAAATGTTTTATTGAGTTTATCATCAATAAACTTGTTTACTTCTAAATTGTAACACTAACTGTAATTAACTTTTTGGAACTTAGTTTGAACAGCTAGGATAGAAAAAGTGGTAGAAATAACTGTTATATTAAAGAGTTTGAAAATATAATAGAAAATTAATTTTTTTTGTTTACAAATATTTTACTATTTGCTATTTACTGTGTATTGCTTACAATGTTTTACTATTTTCTTAACTTTATTAACAAAAACAATAAAGCATAAAGATAAATATGTTACCTAAACTATTGCCTATGAAAAAGCAGCAAAACAGAATACCTACAATGTTAGGAAGGAAATTTAATTACATAAAAAGGGAAGCAAAAGTAAGAGAACTAATGGATATTATCAAGTAGCTAAAGAAAAGAAAGCTAGTAAAAAGCAAGCAAGCATGATTCTCCTTTCTAAATTTAAAGGACCAAAGATAAGAGAAAAAGAATAAAAGGATAAAAGTGATCACTGAAAAAAGTAATGAATCATACGTCTAGCAAAAATATCAATAAAATGCAAATGTAAAAAACTTGTCCTGTAGCTAAGCACTTTATTCTTGTTATTATTTTTGTTATTACTATTATTGTAATTAAGAAGAATTTATTTTATGCTCACTGGTCATTTGGGAGGAAGCAGGGGTCAACCAGCTTCATAGAATTCCAAAATGAAATTGACAGCTAACCTAGACAGGAGTTGAAAAATGAACTTTAAATTCATTTGGGCTAAGAAACTTTTTTGAATTATTCAGTTCACAATCTTACCTAAGGACATCAATTTTACCATTGATTTTTATAAAGTGATTTACCTAGAATATCACTTTATTCTGTAAAATAGTCTTAAATCTTCTATATCCTACTATGACTCACCCAGAGGACTATTCACATCAACAAGCTGCTCTTGAGGTATAATCACATGGGTCATTCCTGTTTGAATAGATGGAATTACTCGAAGCACCTGTCCATTTTCTGATGGGCTGGCAACAATCATCTTGAATGGATTAAAAAAAAAACAAATGCATGTCATTCTGGTTTAACAGAATTATGAATTAAAATTTTAAACTCACATCTATCTTTATGATGCATATTATTATTTTCCCCAATTTATAGACAAAACATTGAAGCACTTTACAATCTTTTCTAAAGTCTTACAACTTATGAATGATGAAGCTATGATTCAAAATAGGCAATTTGACTCTATAGCCTATGACCTTAAGCAGCTATAGTCTTAATCTTTATAGTCCATACATGAAGTTTAAAAAGGCTGTGCTTGAACTTAATTACATTTTGTATACTCTCTATTGTCCACATATCTGACCTATTTGTAGGGCAATAATTTGTCCCATATTTTTCATCATTTTCATTAGTTTAAAAATGGTAACTTGTGCTGGGCACTGTGGCTCACGCCTGTAATCCTAGCTACTCAGGAAGCTGAGATCTGAGGATCGCGGTTCAAAGCCAGCCCAGGCAGAAAGTCCATGAGACTTTTATCTCTAACAAACCACTAGAAAACTGGAAGTGGCGCTGTGGCTTAAGCGGTAGTGTGCTCACCTTGAGCTGAAGAACACAGGGACAATGCCCAAGCCCAGATTTCAAGCCCCACGACCGACAAAAAAAAAAAAAAAAGTAACTTGTAGCTGGGCACTCGTGGCTCATGCCTGTAATCCTAGCTATTCAGGAGGCTGAGATCTGAGTATCACAGTTTCTGCCTGGGCAGAAAAGTCCCTGAATCTCTTATCTCCAATAAATTACTCAGAAAAGGATGGAAGTGGCACTGTGGCTCAAGTGGTAGAGTGCTAGCCTTGAGCATAAAGAGGCTCAGGGACAGTACCCAGGCCCTGAGTTCAAGCCCCAGGACCAGGGTTGCTTTTTTTATTGTTGTTTTTTAAAAAGGTAACTTATAGAGCTGGGGATGTAGTTTAGTTGAACAGTACTTTCCCTGGTATGTACAGGGCCCTGAGTTAGGTCCCCAGTAAAACACACACACACATACACACACACATACACACACATACACACACACATACACACACACATACACACACACATACACACACACCACCACCACCACCACCACCACGTTAGATATCTAATTAAATAAAATCTTAATTATCTGTATTATATGCCTTTGTCCCTAAAGAATACTAGAGTGTCCCGAGAGTCTGAAAACGAAGGGAAAATAGTAAACTTATTATAGTATTTTTCAGCTTGAAAATTGAATCCAGTATCTTACATTTAGGAAATATCAACTTAAAAGGCACTTGAAGATTAAACAAATTTAGGTTTATCATTTGAAAATATAATCAATACAGTTGTTGCAAATAAGTTTTTTCTATTTTTTATAAACTAATGCTAATATAGTGATGTCCTATTGACTCAGTTTTCTTATTATTCTGCTTAAAATCTGCTGTTTTTCCAGTAAGAAGTAACTCTTTTATCATTCAAACCAGTATTACTAGACTTGCTTCTTGGTATGTAAAACATGAACTGATTACTGATGCTTGATAGCATGCATTCCAACTTTTAAGAGGGTCATTTAAAAATAAGAATTTAAATTTGAAAAAAAATAAAGGAAAAAATAAAGAAAATGTTGAAATAGAATTTAATCAAACAGAAATAACACAAGTTTATTACCACTAAAAGTAAAAGTGGGAATTTTTTTCCTTCACCTAATGTTTTTCAAGTTTCTTAAGATAAAAATATTTTGCCATAGCTGGGCACTGGAGGCTCATGCCTGTAATCCTAGCTACTCAGGAGTCCAAGATCTGAGGATCACAGTTCAAAGCCAGCCCAAGGAGGAAGCCCTTGAGGATCTTATCTCCAATTAATCACAGAAGAAAAAAAAAACAGAAGAGCTGTGCTCAAGCGGGAGAGTGCTAGTCTTGCACAAAAGGAGCTCAGGGACAAGTGCCCAGACCCAGAGTTCAAGTCCCAGGACTGGAAAAAAAAAAAATCTTGCCATCTTACCTCTTCAGCACAAAGAAACAATGGTCAATTCTGATGAAAGTAACTATGCAGCAAGACTTAGGATGTATTCCTTACCTGATTTAATCCTCACCACATATATATGAAGGATATGAATTTTATAAATAAGGAAACTGTTGTAGAGCCTATAAAATTCACGCAAGGTTACACAGAATTATTTAATACTATGAGTTCAAATTAATCAAGCAATCTGACTTCTCTTAACTACTTCTCTGCAATGCCTCCTAATATTCAGTATTACTTAACCAAAAATAATAAGGCAAAACTAAAACACAAAAAACCTTCTGGATCTGAGATGCAAGAGTTAATATTGACTTTATTTTGTTTTTGAGACAAGGTCACTGCATAACAAACTGGCCTGAAAATACTCTTAGCTAACAGTTTAAATTTGCATTCTTTTCTGTTTCACCTTGTTATATTGTTATTTTTACAGGAGACGCATCTTTATCTACCTATTAGGATCATGGAAGGGGCCTGGGCGCTGGTGGCTCACACCTATAATCCTAGCTAATCAGGAGGCTGAGGTCTGAAGATCACTGTTCAAAGCCACTCGAGACAGAAAAGTTGTGAGACTCTTATCTTCAATTAATCACCGGAAAAAGCAGAAATAGAGCTATGGCTCAAAGTTAGTGCTAGCCTTGAGAGAAAAAGCTCAGGGACAGTGCCCAGGCCGTAAGTTCAAGCCCCCCCACCCCCCACAAAAATCACAAAAGGTTTACTTAATTCCCTATATGTCCATGTTATCACCATGTTTTCTTTTTAATAGACATTACTAGCATATAGTTGATAAATAACCTTAAGTTGAAACAAATATATATATATATTAAGAATATAACCAAATATATATTAAAATATGTAAGTTACATGTAAACATTGGCACTTCAGCACTAGTTACAGATTTTATTACGTTTCCAATTTATTTCAAAGCACCAGTGTGCTTAGACATAAGTGACTAAGAAGAATTACTATTTGTAATCCTAAAAGGAAATAGTCTTAAATCATTATATAAAAATGAACAGCACTGCCAACACAATATAGGTCAATAGTGTCAAGAGAGAAAGTTCAACTAGTAAGACTGACACGTTTTGCTAAGTAGCATAAGGGTCATTTATAAAAATATGCCCACCATTTGTGTATTAGAATCTTCCAGTGATTGAAGTTCATATTGAATAGGTTGTCCATTTTGGTCCACTAGATGGAATTGCTCAGCAGTCTGAGCAATTGTCTGAGTCAGGGGCCTTGGTATATTCTGTGATATGAGTGAATCATTTGCTTCAGGAGTAGTAATAGGCACAACTGTAGGAGAATCATTTTGTTCAAAGGAAGAAGCCTCAGATTCCATACAGGTTAGACGCTTTTGGAAAAGAAAAAAAATTACTCAGTCTCTTTATAATATGCAGTCACTATTTTTTAAAAAGGCTATATATAATAAAACAGGGACATATTTATTTTCTAGTTAATTGCTCATTTTACTTCTGGAAGAGTCATCAATTCATACAAAGTATATGAATTTTTTTTCCATGCTAGAATTTGAACCCAGGGCTTTGTGCACGCCAGACAAACACTTTACCACTAAGCTACATACCAGCCTATTCAAAGCATTTGTTAGGTGAAATTATTGATGTGGAGGTAGGAGCAGTACTGAGGATTGAATTCAGTGCCTGAAACTTGTCAAGCTGATATACTGCTGAGCCACACCTCTGGATCTTGTTTTTCACTGGTTATTTTTTTAAGATAGGGTCTTGCTTCCCTTCTGGGCATGAATCTAAAGACACAATACGCTTAAATTTATGCTTTCCACGGTAGCTTGGATTATAGACACACCCCTACATTCAGCTTTTTCTAGAGATGAGTCTTATAGACTTTTTATGCCTAGGCTGGCCTGGCATAATCTTAATCTCAGCCTCCCAGTTTGGGATGACTGATGGTTGCTGTCCAGATATGAGTTGAGTGGGAATCCTGAGAACTTTATTGCCTGGGCCAGCTTTGAACTGTGATCTTCCAATTCTCAGTTTCCCAAGCAGCAAGGATTGCATGTCCAAGCCACCAGTGCCAGGGTGAAATTATTTATTTCATATTTTATCATCTCAATTTTATTAAGATAAAGTTGTATAACAGAGTACATCCTGAAATGATGAAGTACATTTCAACATAGATTTTCTTTGCATATAAATTTTAATGCATATAAGTATTACTTTCCAGGTCCCTAAGTAGTTTGTGTTAGAGGCGTGAGCCATTGGCACCTCACCAAAAATTCTTTTAATTTTTGAGAGAGTCTGGCCTTGAACTCATGATCTTCCTGCCTCAGGCTCAAGAGTGCAGAGAAAACAGGCATGTGCCACCACACCCAACATTATCAAAATTCTTGAATCATTGAATAACTAGTCTTCAAATATGAAAATTGGTTAAATATATGCTGTTTTGGCTGAGAATGGAAAATGTTCCCATCTGAATCCCTACCTCAAATTCCTGAGTTTCTGTTTTTGACTCTTCACCATCATTACCTCTGACTCTTAATGAACTATTACACTACTCCATGCTGGCTTCATACACAATTCCATTTTCTCCTATTAGCTAATGACTGAAAGAGTTTAAATATCTGATCAACTAAAGCATCTAACATTTTTACTGAATGTTTTCCTAAACGAATAATTTATCTTCTCTACTATAGAACCTTAAACAACTTATGGTAAAATTATTTACTAATTAAACTTAATTTACTAATTAAACTTATGGCATGAAAAGATAAGAAAATTAATATTTTTATTAATGTTGCAAAGGAACTATAGTACATTCAAAGCAGATAAAAGATTAGGATTGTGTAGCTGTCTCATTCTATCATACATTCCTATATTGGCTCATTAAAATTGCTTCTGTGAGGCCAATAAATATGTGAATAAAGGCTTGCATCCCTGGACAAAAGGAAATGAAAATCAAAAGATAAGATTTCATTCATCTCATTCCAGTTATAATGGTTAGCATCAAGAACATACACAACAAATGCTGGTAAAGATGCCTGTGGGACAAGGAAAGAGGGTGGATATCTTTAAATACTACTGATAGAAATGTTAGTAAAATAACTACGGAAAACATATGAGGTTACTAAAAAAACAACTAAAAACAAGCCAGACACTGTTGGCTCATGCCTGTAATTCTAGCTGCTCAGGAGGCTGTTATTTGAAGATCCAGGTTTGAAGCCAGCCCAGGCAAGAAAGTCTTTGAGATACTTACCTTCAATTAACCACCAAAGAGCCAAAAGTGGAGCTGTGGCTCAAGTGGTAGGGTGCTAGACTGGAACATAAGAGCTCAAGCCCTGAATTCAAGCCCCAGGACCAACACACACACATATACACACAAAAAGAAATGAAAAACAAAATTAAAAACAGAATAGAACTACCATATGATCCATTCTTGGGCATATATCAGAAGAACTATAAGTCAAGATATAAAAGAGACACCTATAAACCCATTTATTATTAAATTAAGAAAGCACTATTCAAAATAGCCAGTTATGGAAGCAATCTAGATGCTCTAAAGATGATAAATGGGTATGTGTTATATACATATAATGTATATATACCATGTGTATGTATACATACACATTGGAGTTTTATTCAGCCATAAAGAACAAAATCGTCATTTTCAGGAAAATAGATATAATGTATACACTATGCGTATATATACATACATACACAGTAGAGTTTTATTCAGCCATAAAGAACAAATAATATCATTTTCAGGAAAATAGGTAGAAGTGGAGATGACCATGTTAAGTGAAGTAAACCTGGTTCAGAAGGACAAAGTATATATGTATACACTAGACAAACACACGCACACCAAACATATTCATAACTGTGGACTTGCTTAAGGGAGTGAAAAGGTTGAGGGAGAAGGAAGGAGAATTACGGGGGTTGAATAATATCAAAAATATCTGTGGCTATGTATGAAGATGCATAGGGAGAACGAGGACAGAGCAATAGAGGGACTTCATCTGAAATACCACAATAAAATTTCTTCATATAATATACACTAAAGTAATGAATTACAGAAATCTAAAATAGGAGGTTTTACCAGTGGGAGAGAGGAAAACAAATGGAAAGGGTAAAGGAGGGTTAATATGGTCAAAATATAATGCAACCTGTTGAAACTGTTTTAAGAAGTGGGGAAAGAGGATGAGGAGTGGTATTAGAGGCAAATTTAATCAGGGAACATTGTATGCTTGGATAAAATATTACAATGAAACCTCCTTATACAACTAATAATATATGCTAATAAAAATGTGGATTTTTCCGGGCGCCGATGGCTCACACCTGTAATCCTAGCTACTCAGGAGGCTGAGATCTGAGGATCGTGGTTCAAAGCCAGCCCGGGCAGGAAAGTCTTTCCTGAAAACCGGAAGTGGCGCTGTGGCTCAAGCTCAAGTACAGTGCTCGCCTTGAGCTGAAAAGCACAGGGACAGTGCCCAAGCCCAGAGTTCAAGCCCCACAACCGACAAAAAAAAAAAGTGGATTTTTAAAAATTTGCATTTATGTGATTACACACATTCAAATAATTCTAAATTACTCACCATACAATAATTTAATGCAAATAAAGGCTATATATTGGGGGGGAAATGCTTGAACTCAGGGCCTTGCTTAACTTTTTCACAGGAGACAGGCACTTGAACCATACCTCCGCTTCTGATTTATTGCTGGTTAACTGGAGATAGAGTCTCTTGGAGTTGTCTGCTGGCTCCAAACCTTAGTCCTCAGATCTCAGCCTTATGAGCATAGGATGACATGTGTGAGCCACCAACACCCCACTACAATGTTTTTGTTCATTAACAACTCTTGACTAGTAAGGAAAAAAGTTCAAGGATTGAGATAGCTATAATAAGAGATTAACAATGATGATTAATAATAAAATAGAATTAAGAGCCAGGCACCAGTGGCTCATGCCTGTTAATCCTAGCTATTCAGGAGAATGAGATCTCAGGATTACAGTTCAAAGGCTGCCCAGGCAGGAAAGTCCATGAGACTCTCATCTCCAATTCATTACCAGAAAAATGGAAGTAATGCTGTGATTCAAAGTGGTATAGCACTAGCCTTGAGCAAAAAAGCTCAAGGACAGTGCCCAGGTCCTGAGTTCAAGCCCCATCACCAAACAAAAAAAAAATAGAATTATGACAATATTTTTTCATAAAATTATCTATGACTCAAATTATTTCTTGAGTTTTTTTCTTTCATATTTCAGACTATGGTTGACTATAGGTAACTGAAACCACAAAATGTAAAGCTGAGGATAAGGAGGAACTATTACATATAATTCATATGATTAATGTATATTTCTAACACTTAATATTTCACTTGAAAAGCTTGGGGAAAAAAAACATATATATCTCTGAATGACTTGGGCCCAGTAATCTGTAGTTATTTAACTTTTAGGGCAATTTTGTTTTGTAACTCTGGTCTTTTTGTTGAATTTAGATAGATAGATAAATGACAGAGAGACGATATACCGTATCTATGTTATATGTTGTATATGCTATACATCTATGCTATACATTTATACATTTATCTATATTATATTTATCTACATACATATGTAACACTTGAGAGTAAAAAATTTTCCTAAGAAAAATAAAAATAAATACAAATAAATAAAATTTAAAAAACTTCTACTAATGGCAATATGGCAGATTAGTTACTGTAGAAAATGAAGCTGACCTAAAACCAAAAAATTTATTTGATGGTTGGGCTCTGAGACAGGATTTAACAAAATCAAAGATTACCAACCAATTTCCATGCACCCTCCCCCCATCAAAAAGAGTAAAAGCTAATAGAAATCATTAGCAAGACTAAAATACTTAGAAATAAATTTCAACATGGAAGTAAAATACTTGTATACTTCTATAAAGTAAAAAGACTTAACAGCTGGGTACTGGTGGCTCACATCTGTAATCCTAGCTACTCAGGAGGCTAAAATCTGAGGATCTCAGTTTAAAACCAGCCCGGGCAGGAAAGTCTGTGAGATTCTTATCTCCAATTAACCACCAGAGAACTGAAAGTTGCGCTGTGGCTCAAAGTGGCAGAGTGCTAGCCTTGAACAAGAGTTCAGGGACAATGCCCAAGCACTGAGTTCAAGCCTTACAACCAACCCAAAAAAAAAAGACAACTGAAATAAATGGGAAGATATACTGTGCTCAGATACTGTAAGACAGTTTTATGGTAATGACACTACTAAAATTAAGGTATGTATCGAATGCCATCCCTATCATAATCCCATGGCCTTCTGTATAATAAAAAAGCCAATCCTAAAATTCATATGGAATTCCAACAAACTCAGAACAATCAAATAATCCAAAAGAGGTAGAGAACTCATACTTCCATATTTCAAAACTTACAATAAAACTACAGTCCTGGAAATGTGACTTAGTGATAGAGTGCTTTGCCTAGCATGCATGTAGCCCTGGGTTTGATTCCTCAATACCACAAAAATAGAAAAAGACAGAAGTGGCACTGTGGCTCAATTGGTAGAGCTACCCTTGAGTAAAAGAATCTCAGGAACAGTGCCCAAGCCCTGAGTTTAAGCCCCAGGACTAGCAAAAAAAAAAAAAAGCTACATTAATCATGAGAACAGAGTTGGGGGTTTACCTAGTAGTAGAGGACTTGCAGTAGAGGGTTCAATCTCCAGTGCTGAAAAATAAATAAATTGATTTGTTATCCATACAATGGAATATTATTTAGCTATAAAAAGAAATAAATTATTGATACATGCAACAACATGGATGAGACTCAAAAACATGCTAAGTGATAGGAGCTAGACACAAAGGCCACATATCATTCAATTTATATAAAATATTTAAAATTAGTAAATCCATACATAGAAAAAGCAGTTAGGGAATGTCAAATTTCAGGGTAGTGGAAATGTCTGCATGTAGATATAGCAGTAACACTTGTGCAAGATTGTGAAAAGAAGAGCACAAATAAGTACTTGAATAAAAGGGACTAACTACAAAAGTAGATATAACAAGGTTATCACGAACAAAGTTCTACAAACTATTCTCTAAACTGGACGCTGGTGGCTCACACCTGTAATCCTAGATACTCAGGAGACTGAACTCTGAGGACTGCAATTCAAAGCCAACCCAGGCAGGAAAGTCCATGAGACTCTTATCTCCAATAAACTACCAGAAAACTGGAAGTGGCGCTGTGTCTCAAGTGGTAGAACAGTCGCCTTAAACTGAAGAACTCAGGGACAATGCTCAGGCCCAGAGTTCAAGCTCCATGACCAACAAACAAACAAACAAACAAACAAACTATTCTCTAAAAAACTAAGTCATACTGCCTGAATAGGCATATACATATATATATATATAAGTTGAATAAAATCTACCACAAAAAATAACAAGTGAAGGGCTGGGAAGGTGGCTCAGTGGTAGAGTGCTTGCCTTGCATGCATGAGGCCCTGGGTTCGATTCCTCAGCACCACATAAGCAAAAAGAAAAAAGCCGGAAGTGGCACTGTGGCTCAAGTGGTAGAGCGCTAGCCTTGAGCTGAAGAGCTCAGGGACAGCGCCCAGGCCGGGAGTTCAGGCCCCACGACCGGACCCCCCCCAAAAAAGAAAAAAAAAACAACAAGTGAAGACACTACAAAAATTTACAACACTACATATGCTTTTATGGTATAAAGAGGATTTATCTCAACTGATGGTATGAGAATAACTTATCTAGACACAAAATTGATAGAGTAAGAAAGAAAACCTACAGCTAACTTTACTATATTAACTCTGTTTTTCTAGTTGTTTTTTTTTTTTTATTTGATCCTCTGATACCTTCAGCCTTGCTGACCAGGGAAGGAACTGGATTAACCAATTCTAGAGATAGCATTCTTGTGAAATAACTCCTTTTCTAAAACAAATTCAAATACCAGGCTGCTCAACTACCTTCTTTATTAGACTATCATCCTCTGGAACACTTGTTCTCCAGACCTATAATCCTAGGGCCAGGAACCAGTCAGTATACCCAAAGACCAAATAAATTGTTCAGACTAATCATTCCTAAACCTACTTACGGAGTATTCTTTCTCTTAAAACCCACAATGAAGTTTCTTTCCCCTCTCTCTCTACTACCAACCTTGGTGTTGTTTTGTGTGGGTCTTTGTGGTATATAACATGACCCTTCTTCTTGAGAATTGTGAGTAAAAAACTATTTTTTCAATGGCAATCTTCTCCGCATCTGTTGGTTTCACCATACCTGAATAGAAACAAAATCTGTCTTAAAACTGTCAGAAACATATAAAAAAATTCTAAATAAAATCTTAGTGAACAAAATCTAGCACTGTATAGTAAAAAGTGCTATGTTGCATAAAAACTAAAATGCACTATTATGTGCAACTAAGAAAGAAAAACAATGAGGAACAATGGTATTTGCTTTCTTATTATTTGGAGTTTTATTTCATACTTTTTGAAAGACTCTTAAGTTTAAAAAAGTTTTATTGTATGAAACTCTTATACACATATTAAAAAAACCCAAATACATCTATTAACTTATCACTTCATTTTCAGTGATTTCTTAGAATCACTTTTACTCAGCTACTAATGTCCATTTTATCTCTCTCTAAAAGAAAAAAAAACATAGGTGGCAACAGGTGTAATATTTACATAAAAACTAGGATCTTACAATGGTTTATGCAACTATATTAAAAAATTCTAATTGGCAGAGGTATAGATGTGTTGTAAAATAAGGCTGAAATCTGCCCTCTTCCATCCAAAACTCTTTCCCATGGCCATTAGATTTCAATGGATAAAAGAGTGTTCCCCCAATGTCTCTAAGTGGAAACATTTACTTTCCAAATTTAGAGCACCAGGTGTTGTAGTTCATACCAATAATCCCAGCACTAAGGAAGAATACATAGGAAGATCCAAGTTTGAGGCTAGCCTGAGCTTCAAAGCAAGTTCAAGCTATGTAACAAGATTCTGTCTTTAAAAATCAAAGGCTGCAACAATGAAATTCTCCTTATTCAGTTAGACACAGAGGCTCACTCTTATTTCTAGTTGCTTGAGGCTGAGATTAGGAAGATTACAATTTGAGGCCAGCCCAAGAAAAAGTTTATAAGACCCCTTCTCAACTGGTAGCTTGGGATATTATCACATTTCTATCATCCAACCCTTTGTGAGAAATTGAGATCATGGTTCCAAAGAAAAAGAATTTGTGAGATTCCATCTTAACAAAAAAAAAACTGGGTATAGTGGCACATGCCTGTCATCTCAGCTATGGTAGAAAGTATAAAATATAAGGATCCTTGTCCTAGCATGTGACTGGGCAAAAAGAAAGGCCCTATCTCAAAAATAACAGTATAACTTGGCACTGGTGGCTCCTAGCTACTCAGGAGGCTGAGATCTGAGGATCATGGTTCAAAGCCATCCTAGGCAGCAAACTCTTTGTGACTCTTATCTCCAATAAACTATTCAAAAAAAAAAAGCCAGAAGTTGCATTGTGGCTCAAGTGGCAGAGCACTCACCTTGAGCAAAAGAAACTCATGGACAGCACCTAGGCCCAGAATTTAAATCCCAGGAAAAAATAAACAACAACAACAAAAACCAAAACACCACAGCTGGAGTGCTGGTGGCTCATGCCTGTAATCCTAGCTACTCAGGAGGCTGAGATATGAGGACTGCAGTTTAAAGCCAACCCTGGGCAGGAATGTCCGTGAGACTCTTATCTCGATTCAACCACCAGAAAACCAGAAGTGGCACTGTGGCTCAAGTGGTAGAGTGCCTGCCTTTAGCTGAAGAGCTGAGGGACAGCACCCAGGCCCAGAGTTCAAGCCCAGAGTTCAACAGACAAAAAAAAAAAAATACATAAAAAGAATTAAAGGAGTAGCTCAAAGGTAGAGCACCTGTCTAACCTGCTAGTAACCCAGAGAATAGCCTAAAAGTAGAGCACCTGTCTAGTAACACAGAGTTCAAACTCTGGTACTGCAAAAATCAGGAAATAAAACATGGGCTACAAATGTAGCTCAGTGGTACAGCATTTATCTAGCACATGTAAGTCTCTGGGTTCAATCCCCAGTACTGGGGGAAAAAAGTTTGATACTGGTGCTTTTATTGTTATGGGCAAAGACACTGACATTGCTGCACCAGCTGTTTGGGGAAGAGAGATTATAAAGAACACACTATTTATGAAATATATTAATTTTAGCGTAGAAAAATGTGGTGAAATGCGCACTCTAGAATCACTAATGTAATTACTAACACGTTAGTTGTTAAAGCAACAAAAGCTTCAAAAGCTAAAGTTAAAATTCATTTGATAAGCCAGGTGCCAGTGGCTTAAGGCTATAACCCTAGCTGCTCAGGAAGCTGAGATTTGAGAACCAAGGTTTGAAGCCAGCCCAGACAAGAAAGTCTGTGAAACTCTTGCCTTGATTAGCCACTAAAAAACTGGATGTGGAGCTGTGGCTCAACTGGTAGAGCACTAGCCCTGAGTGATAAAGCTCATGGACAGCACTCAGGTCTTGAGTTTGAGCCCCAGTGCATGCAAAAAATTTAATTTGATAAAATTCAATATTAAGTATATTAATGAAAGGAAGTATAGTTTAAGAGAACTGTGTATGTTTAAATTCCTGTCTAATACAAGACCTTTTATATAAAAGCATTGTTTTTTTTGAGGATTATAAAAAATAACAACAAAGAACACCAGACTGGGAATGTGGCTTAGTGTTAAGAGTGCTTGCCTAGCATGCATGAATCCCTGGGTTCAATTCCTTAATACCACATAAACAGAAAAAGCCGGTTATCTTTTTTCCTCCTTTTAAGAAATGCATTTCTCTGACTCTTCAGATGTTTGGAAATCTTACCATGGTAATTGGCATCTGTTAGTCTCAGCTAAGTCTTAGGTGCTATCTTTTTTGTTTGGTAGCCATCTAGGGATATCTTCCTCATCTTCTAGTTCCCATGGGAGAGGAAGAGCCCACCATTGGAAAGTTCACAGTGCTCTCATAGTTGAAACAAATGGTTCTCATCAAACTCTGAGAACTTTGTCTCTCCAAGGAAAAGCCATTATCTAGAAAACATGCGTGTATGGATTGTTTCTGTTTGTTGGAACAAAGGAGCAGGATTCCTTTCTGTCTTTTCAATCTCTTAGTGGTTGCCTGTGATGCATTCTGATTTATGTTTATTTGATAATAAAAATGTTTTTTTCCTTAAAAAAAAACAAACAGAAAAAGCCGGAAGTGGTCCTGTGGCTCAAGTGGTAGAGTGCTAGCCTTGAGGAAAGGACACTCAAGGACAGAGCCCAGGCCCTGAGTGCAAGCCCCAGAAATAGAAAAAAAAATGACAACAACAAAAACCTAGATTACCACAGAAATATAGAAGAACTTTCTTTTCTTTTTTTTTTTTTTTTGGTGGATGGTCATGGAGCTTAAACTCAACCTGGGTGCTGCCCCTGAGCATTTTCACTGAAGGCTACCACTCTACTACCTTGAGCCACAGCGCCACTTCCAGTTTTCTAGTGGTTGACTGGAGTGTCTCAGGGACTTTCCTGCCTAGGCTGGCTTCAAACAGCAATTCTCAGATCTCAGCCTCCTGAGTAGCTAGGATTATAGGCGTGGGCCACTGGTGCCCTGCAAGACTTTATTTTTTAATTGAAAAATATGATTCTAAAATTCATATGGAAATGTAGCTTAGTGGTAAAGGGTCTACCTAGCATGGTTAATGCCCTAACTTCAATCCTCAACACAGAAAAAAGAAAAAAATGTGAATTTTATATGGAAATGCAAAGGTTAAAATAGTCAAAACGAGCTGGGCCCCAGTGGCTCATTCCTGTAATCCTAGCTATTCAGGAGGCTGAGATCTGAGGATAACAGCTTGAAGCCTGCTCAGGCAGGAAAGTCTAAGAGACTCATTCCCAATTAACCACCAGAAAACAGAAGTCGAGCTGTGGCTCAAAGTAGTAGAGTACTAGCCTTAAGCAAGAAAGCTCAGGGACATATAAAAGGAAACTTAAAATGGATCAGAGACTATAAATATAACCATAAAATTTCTAGAAGGAAACACAGGAGAAAATCTGTATAACCTTGGGCTTGAAAAGATGACAAAGATGATCTCCCTGATTCGTGGATGTTAAAACTCTAAATGCAAGGAGATATGACAAAGTAAACAGGACTCAAGAAACAAAAGAGCAGGGCAGTGGTTCATGCCTGTAATCCTAGCTACTCAGGAGGCTGAGATCTGAGGATCTCGGTTCAAAGCCAGCCTGGGCACAAAAGTCCATGAGACTCTTATCTCCAATAAATCACTCAGAAAGCCAGAAGTAGCCCCATGGCTCAAGTGTTAGAGCGCTAGCCTTGAGCTGAAGAGCTCAGGGACAGCACACAGGACCAGATCCAAGCCTCATGACCGACAGAAAGAAGGAAGGAAAGAAAAGAAAAGAAAAGAAAAGAAAGGAAGGAAGGAAGGAAGGAAGCAAGCAAGGAAGCAAGCAAGGAAGCAAGCAAGGAAGGAAGGAAGGACCTCTTCTTAATTTGTCATATCATTTCTAGATGACTCCACGTCCTTGACCTCATATACTGAATATACATGTGCATATTTGAGGGAAGATAGAAGGGCACAGAATCAGAGGAAAACAGAGGAAAAAATACAGCAGAGGGGCCCATCAACTGCACTGGACATTGATGAAAGTAAACTAAGCAACTCAACCGCAGCAATGGGAGGGAGGGAATAAGAGAGAAAGAGGGAATAGCTTACACGAAGCAAAAGGAAAAGAAATGTACATTATCACCTGATTTGGAAAAAATAGCTGTAGTGTCAAAGTTTGTAGAGACTATAAGGTTTACAGACAATGACAATGTGCCTCATGTATTTGTAACTTTAACTAAGTATCACTAGCCCACAAAAGTATGAATTTTGTGAAATTTATGTAATCACTTAATCTCAATAAAGAAAAAAAAGAAAAGATGACAAAGATGACTGCCTGTATAAATAGCAAGCTTTAAAGCTCGATAGTGGTAACATAGTTTTTGTTTTTTTAATTTATTATTATTATAATTATTATTATTATTGTCAGTCGTGGGGCTTGAACTTTGGGCCTAGGCACTGTCCCTCAGCTCTTCATCTCAAGGCTAGCACTCTACCACTTGAGCCACAGTGCCACTTCCGGTTTTCTGGTGGTCTGGCAATAAGAAGTTCACAGCTTTTCTTGCCCACGCTAGCTTTGAGCCACAATCCTCAGATCTCAGCCTTCTGAGTGGCTAGGATTGCAGGTGTGAGCCACTGGCACCCGGCTTGGTCACATAATTTTTACCCTAAAATTCTATAGACAAATAAAATAACTAGACTGTTTAGAAACTGTTAAACTGTTTTTTCTAAATTTTAACCACACTTATTCTAAATCATTTGTAATCAGTTTGGGTGTCTCTGTTTTTTTGTTTTGTGCAAGTCCTAGGGCTTTAAATCAGGGCCGGGGTGCTGTTCCTCAGCTTTGCTTGTTCAAGGTTAGTTCTCTACCTCTTGAGTCACAGCTCTACTTCCTGCTTTTTTGTGTGTGATTAATTAAAGACAAGAGCCTCATGACTTTGGACTTTTTTGCCCACCTCCAACAGTGCTAGATCTCAGCCTCCTGAGTCACTAGTATTACAGGTATGACTGGTACCTGGCTGTGGTGTTTTTTTGTTGTTTTCTGAGCCAGTCCTGGAGCTTAAAACTCAGGGCCTGAGTGTTATCCTTTAACTTTTTTGCTCAAGGATAGCAGTCTACCACTTGAGCACAGCTCCACTTCTGGCTTACCTAATGGCTAAATGGAGATAAGAGTCTTACAGACTTTCCAGCTTAGGCTGGCTTTGAACCCTGATCCTCAGATATCAGCCTTCTGAGTAGCTAGGATTATAGTTGTGAGCCACCAACACCTAGCTCAGTTTTAAACCTTTTCTGAAACATTTGCAATTGGGCTCTTATAAGGACTTATTTCTCAAATGAATTTGAGTTTAAATATTTGCTTTTTTGGTTTTGTTTTGTATTTTCCTTATAAAACTTTGTAACTGCTGTCTATTAACATTCTGCAGAAGTACAACTTCCAACAATAACAACCTGAGATGTTAGGACATCAAATACAAAATGAACAAAATTAAACTTAAAAATGGGTTCCAAGTAATCCAAGCCTAAGTGTCACTTTTTCTATACCTCTCTCTATGTTGCTTATGTTTGGCCAAAAGAGGTCTTATTGACACTGACTCTCACCTAATCAGTCTGTTACTCCCCACTCCAATGTAGGAATCAGTGCATATCTTCAGAAAAAGAAAATTGTTCAGAGGTAGACAATTCCAGAAAAAATTCTTAAGATCAGAGAGGAACTTACCAAATTCCAAATAGAGTCTCTTGTGTCAGTCCTTCTGACAGTTTGAAAATAAATGGCTCCTAAGCATGGTTACTTGAAGCTAAAATCCATGCTGGTCTGTCTTCTAACTGAATAGAAACTTATACCCTAGCCTTTCTATCATCATCTATATAGCTACAGAAAATGAAAAAAAAAAAGTCCCAGATGTTTTTCCTTATATATGGACATTTATAACCTCTTAAAAAAAAAAAAAAGGGTGCCAGGCACCAGTGGTTCACATCTGTAATCCTAGCTACTCAGGAGATCTGAGGATTACAGTTCAAAGCCAGCCCACGCAGGAAAATCTGTGAGACCCTTATCTTCAATAAACTACTCAGAAACCAGAAGTGGCACTGTGGCTCAAGTGGTAAAGCACTAGCCTTGAGCACAAAAAGGCTGAGGGACAGTGCCCAGGTCCTGAATTCAAGACTTAGGACTGGCAAAAAGAAAACAAAATAAAACAAAAAACAAACAAACACCAACCAAGAGGGCTATCCAATTTATACTTCTGTTAATATTCTTGGAAATTCCATCAGACATAGGGATAAGAATAGGAGAAATTATTTCTTCCTCCCTGAACTTTATAAAAATCTGTCACCAGCCAGACGATGTGGCTCAGGCCTGTAATCCTAGCTACTCAAGGGGCTGAGATCTGAGGATTGTGGTTCAAAACCAGCCTGGGCAGGAAAGTCCATGATACTCTTATCTCCAATTAACCACCAGAAAACTGGAAGTAGTGCTATGACTCAAGTGGTAGAGGGCTTGTGTTGAGCTGAAGAGCTTAGGGACAGCACCCAGGCCCAGAGTTGAAGCCCCATAAGACAAATAAATAAATAAATTACAACACTATTTACATAACATATACACAGAGAAGGGGGAGAGAGAGGAGAGTGAGGAAAAACAACTGCTTAGGTAGAAAATCTAATAAAATTTACACAGGAAGAGCCATCAAGGAAAAACCTCCACAATTTTCATAAAAGAAATCAAATACCTAAGTAAATGGAGAAGTCTATGTATAGGTAGACTCAATATTAAGATGTCACTTCTTTCCAACTCCATCTACAGATCCAACTTAATACCATTCAAAATACCTTATATTATACATATTAAAAAATCATTCTAAAGTTTATGTAAATAAAAGATCCAGAATAGGGGCTGGGAAGGTGGCTCAGTGGTAGAGCGCTTGCCTTACATGCCTGAGGCCCTGGGTTTGATTCCTCAGCACCACATAAGCAAAAAGAAAAAAGTCGGAAGTGGCACTGTGGCTCAAGTGGTAGAGCACTAGCCTTGAGCTGAAGAGCTGAGGGACAGCGCCCAGGCCCAGAGTTTAGGTCCCATGATCGGACCCAAAAAAATAAAAAAATAATAAAAAAAGATCCAGAATAGCTAGCACAATACTAAAAGCAATGCCGGAGGACTAATACAACCTGAACTTTAAGACTAGACTATTTAATAATGACAATGTGATAATTTTAAAAGATTAGTCCAGCTGGGTTCCAGTGACTCATGCCTGTAATCCTAGCTACTCAGGAGGCTGAGATGTGAGGATGACAGTTCAAAGCCTGTGCGGGCAGGAAAGTCTATGAAACTCATCTCCAATTAACCACCAGGAAACTGAAAGTGTTGCTGTAGCTCAAAGTGTTAGAGTGCTAGTTTTGAGTGGAAAAAGATCAGAGATAGTGCTCAGGCTCTGAGTTCAAGCCCCATGATAAAAAAAAAAATTAGGTCAGCAAATCAATAAAATCTAGAAAATGGATCCTAGAAACAGATCCACAGATATATTATGAATTGATCTTTGATAAAGGAACAAATGCAATTCAATGGAGAAATGACAGTGTGTTTTTTTTTGTTTTTAACAAACGTTGCGAGAATAAATGAACATTGACATGAAGCAAAGTCAACTTTGATAGACATATATTTCAAAAAATTAACTCAAAACGGATCAAAGACATAAGTGTAATATACAAAATTATAAAATTACTAGAGGATATTATAGGAGAAAAACAAGATGACCTTGGATATGGCAATGACTATCTTTAAATACTTGTACAAACAGGTTTCAATTCAACATGTCAATTTATGTGTGCAATGCATCTTGATCAGTGTTGCTCCTTATTTAATTTTTTTTTTTTTTTGTCCATCATGTGGCTTGAACTCTGGGCTTGGGCGCTGTCCTTGCACTCTTTAACTCAAGACAAGTGCTCTACCTCTTGAGCCACAGCGCCACTTCCGGTTTTCTAGTGGTTTATTGGAGATAATAGTCTCACAGACTTTCCTGTCCAGGCTGCCCTTGAACTGTGATCCTCATATCTCAGCCTCCTGAGTAGCTAGGAGTACAGGTGTGAGTCACTGGCGCCCAGCTAGTGTTGCCCCTTCTATTACCCTCCCCTCTCATCTATCCCAACCCCACCTGTCCTCAAGTTTCCTATAGTTCTACTGTACATATGTACATTGAGTATAAGACTAAATTTACCTTCCATACTCTGTCCCCTCCCTTTAACCCTTACCTTTTCCAATAAGACATGTTTCAGCTTCCTGGTATTCACTTTGTCAAACTGTTAATTGACTAAAGGTGTTAAAACATGGATATCCACCCCTTCTGTTTTTTTGTTGTTGTTTTGTTTTTGGTCTGTCGTGGGGCTTGAACTCTGGGGCCTGGGCACTGTCCCTCAACTCTTCAGCTGAAGGCTAGTGCTCTACCACTTGAACCACAGCACCACTTCTGCCTTTTTCTGTTTGTATAGTGCTGAGGAATCAAACCCAGGGCCTCATGCATGCAAGGCAAGCGCTCTACCACTGAGCCCCTTCCCAGCCCCAATCCACCCTTTCTTACACCATACTTTAGTCAGTCTGATGGTATAACTATTCATCCAGTGCTGTATGTGTTTTCATATATATTTCAGATTTAACTTCCACATACGAGAGAAAACTGTGCCCTTTGACAATGAAGTTTTCAAATAAAATACTAGAGTTATATTCCATGAAAGATTTAACTGATAAGCTAGACTTCACTAAAATTAAAAAATGACTGCTCTCTGTAAAGGCAAAATCAAAGGAAGGAGAATATCAGCCAAGACTGGGACATAGTACTTGCAAAAGACATATAAAGAACTCAGCAGTCCCAAGCTAGAGGCTACAGTGAAGAGAGCAGGATGTACATCCTAGGGCAGTAAACCAGTAAAGGGGTAGGAAGGACGTTGATGGAGAGAGATTGCCAACCATAAATCACCTCTGACAGAAAGAAAATTCGATGTTGTTATAGAAATATAGCCTTTTGTGGTTACAGAACAAAAATATTATTTAGTAGTTTCTACAATTTGTAGCAAAAGTATTATTCCTTCATCCCTCATTTCTTTTATCAATTTGCATTACTTTCTTCAATCCTCAGAATTGCAAAATACTTAAAATACCCAACTTTCCCCATCTATCCTTAATGTCAGTACATGCTATAAAGTTGTTAAGAATAAAAATATTAGTATATCATCAAGGTATAAAATATTCTTCTCCACTGGTAACAATAAATAGAACAAAGAACCTATATACAAAAATAATTTTACTTTTAAACTAATATGTAGTAGACAAGTTACCTTTTATCAAGCTATTACTTTCAGTTAATGAGAAATAAAATTAATATCTTCAATAACTAACATTGTGCTATATACCAACAATCCCAGCACTCATGAGGCTGAGGAAGAGAAGGCTCAAGAATCTGAGGCCAGCTAGGGCTAGATAGCATGACAGTATCAAAACATTAAAAAATTACCTTCAAGTAATGGCTGAAGTTTAAATTCCAGGTCTCAACATTATATTACCCCCATAAATGCCCTTTTTGTTCGCTGAAGTTCTCCATCTTCAGGGTACTGAGTCATAATAATTGTTGCAGTTTCATTAACACAAAAGCTGTAACTATATCTTCACAGTTGCATTTTATCTGTAACAAAAAGGTATATAAATGTACATTTTACATTTGCACACATAAATAGAACTATTTCATTGTGCTAGTTTTATTACAAACCAGCTATTTCTAGTCTCACATGACAGAATCAACAATCAATTCAGTTAAGAGAAGAAAAGACTATCGAGGTAGGTTACTTAATCATCATGTGCCAGTGTCCTTATCTAAAATTAGGTATTTGGACTGTTGTTACAACTCAAATTCTACAACTACCACAGAAACAAAAATATTTATAGAAAGTAACATTTTCCTCCTCATTAGGCATATTTTCTTGTTGGGCATCTTTTGGAACCACAAGAAGCTTGTAAATAAAAGCTTCCATCCCTATGCCTACATCCCCTATCCTACCACTGACAAATGTATTCTTAAGCAAGAATCTTAGAATTAGTTAAAAGGAACACAAAGAAAGAATATATACAGAATCTAGATAGTTAATAATAATTAACCACTTTTTTCTGACAAATTGCTGTCTAGAATATTTTATATCATGTTATAAAGGGAGGTTTCATCCTATATAAAAAAAATGAAGGGCTGGGAAGGTGGCTCAGTGGTAGAGCGCTTGCCTTGCATGCCTGAGGCCCTGGGTTCGATTCCTCAGCACCACATAAGCAAAAAGAAAAAAGCAGGAAGTGGCGCTGTGGCTCAAGTGGTAGAGCGCTAGCCTTGAGCTGAAGAGTTGAGGGACAGCGCCCAGGCCCAGAGTTCAGGCCCCACGACCGGACCCAAAAAATTAAAAAAAAAAAAAATGAAGATTCAGGTGGGTTGGGGGAAGGTTTTTTAAATGAAGATTAAAAAGTTAAAAAGGAACTGTAAAACTAGTGCTTCGTTGCTTTTACTGTTACATATAGAAACAGTAAACACAGAGAAAAAGAAAGTCCAAGCTGAATTCACTGTCATTTCTTTTTTTAAATTTTTTAAAATTTTATTGTCAAGGTGATGTACAGAGGAGTTACAGCTACATACGTAAAGTGTTGAGTACATTTCTTCACTGTCATGTCTATAAAGGATCATACCGCAACTATGAGTTTGTTCAACAGTAATTATATTTATTCATAACTTTATAGATTTCTTTCTTCATCTGATTATGTTGACTGTCCTCCATAAAACTGCAAACCCTTCCTAGAAACTGCTCTGTAATCTTGGTTTCTAATCATTTCTTATTCTCTATGTACATACTTTTCACCTCTGCTCTTTGAAAGCTTTACAAATTACTTCATTTCTACAATGATGATATATAAACCCACAGTGATCTTACTGCTTATGGATAAATTAAAACTGTCCAGTACAATGGTACCTTACCCTTGAGTCTAAGCCCCAAGTGGATGCCTGAAACCATCGACAGTACAGAAACAGATACACTGTCCTTTTTACTACACATACAAGCCAATTATAAAGCTTAATTCATCAACAAGGCAGAGTAACATGTTAAAAACAACAGCAATAGCCAGGCACTGGTGGCTCACTCCTGTGATCCTACTACTCAGGAGACTGAGATCTGAGGATCATGGTTCAAAGCTATCCCAGGCAGGAAAGTCTGTGAGACTCTTATCTCCAATTAATCAGCAGAAAAAGCCAGAAGTGGCTCTATGGCTTAAGTGGTGGAGTGCTAGACTCAAGCAAAAAGGAGCCCAGGGACAGCACCCACATCCAGATTTTATACCTCAACACAGACAAAAAACAAAACAAACAAACAAATACAGTAATAAGTTAGAACTACTGTGACAAATACTACATTGAAAGCTATATATCTGAAGCTCTCTCACACAGCTTATTGTACGGTAGATCTTACAATCTGGTATTATCTTCAGTATATAACCTTTTCCTTTCATTAAGAACTTTTACTTTTTCATTTAAGCACTTTACAGCTTCTCTTTATCATAAATGCATTGCCAGCATTGCTACTCTTGAAGTTAGAGGAACACAAGTGATGTGATACTGATCTGATAACGAACAGCACCACCAAGTAGCGAACAAGTAAGTACCAATAGTGGATATCCTCTCAGTACAGAAGGATGATTCATATCCAAGGCAGGGTGGAGCAAGAGATTATGCTATTCAGAAAGTCATGCAATTTGAAACTCAGGAATTTTCCATGTAATATTGGCAGCATACAACTAAAACTGAGGAAAGTAATATTGTAGACAAGGGAGGTCTAGTATAATTTTCGTACTTTAGGTTCAGATTCAAAACCAAGTAGAGGCATAAAAACAAAATAAAACAAAACATAACCAGCCAGGTATATTAATTCCTTTAATTCCAGCTCCAGGATGAGAAGGAAGGAGCATCATGAGTTCAAAACCAGCTTGTATTATATATTATCTTAAAAATGGAGGGGTAGGGGTAGGGAAGTTTAAAGGAAGAGTGCTTGAGAGTTCGACTAACATGAACAAAGCCCTGTTTTTAATCTTTCCAACCAAGAGGAGATGGATAGGTGGCCGGGGAGACGAAAAAAAGGACTCCATTTATTATGCCATTACACACAGAAGTATATATGCATACATGCATATATATACATATTAGACATAAATCTATTATTCATACTATGGGTCTACAGATAAGAATATAAACTCATGAGGATACATTTTCCACAGGAAATGATAAAGAACCAAAAATTTATGCCAGAAGTAGTGGTATATGCTGTAATTCCAGCCACTTGAAAGGTGATAGAGGAAGAGCTAGAGGTCAAGCTGGGGGAAAGTGGTATGCTCTATGTAAAAAAATAAATTAAAAGCAAGAGGAATGAAAGGCATGGCTCTCATGATAAAATACTAACAAGCCTGAGGCTGAGTTCAATCCCACTACTGTCCCTCCAAGAAAGTCTAACTAAACTTATGACAACCACTCAAAAGTAAAAGCATTATTTATCCTAAGTACTCAATGAAGGCTACATCAAACAAGTCACATAAATCACTGTTGAATGCAACACAAAACATGACACTAGGTGCTCAACAAGGAGCAACTGGAACTGGAGGTGTGGCTCAAGTGGTAGTGTCAGCCTTGAGTGAGAGCCAAGAATAAGGCCCTGAGTTCAAGCTTCAGTACCTACACACACAGTAAAACAAAAACCTTACTGATTTTTCTTTAAAGGTCCACACAAGTTCAAATAAAATATTGTATGTATTTTGGTTAATTCAAGACTTGCTTTGCAAATTTGTCTTATCTTCTTAAGCAGACTCTATATGGAAGCTTTGCATCTACCTGTATTTCTATTCAAATTAAGATCAACATATATATATATATTCCTTTCTTGGTGCCAATATTGAGGCTTGAATTGAGGGCCTGGACACTGTCCCATAGCTTTTCCACTCAAGACTGGCTCTCTACCACTTGAGCTACAGCTCCACTTCTGAGTTTTTCCTGGTTATTTGGTGTAGCTGGGCTTTGAACAGAGATCCTCAGATCTCAGCCTCCTGAATAGACAGGGCTGCAGGCATGAGCCACTGGTGCCCAACCCAGATACTGTAGTTTCTTAATTGGATAAATTTCAAATAAAAATTCAAATAAGAATTTCAAATACATTTTCAAAAGCGATTTTAACCAATGTTACCCATAAATATGGATTCAATTAAGGTGTTCAAGTTTCAGACGCCCTAAAGTTAAAATGTAAATCCTTACATTTAATGATATATTAAGAGGCCATAAGTGACTTTTCTGGGACTTTGAGGACCGAAGTTTTCTCATTTCATTCCTCCTAGTCTCCCTTACTTGTTCACGTTGGTAAAGATTCTAGTTTCTCGTGATAACTATTTACGATGTTAATAACATTTATGAAGAGCTTCTTATGTGGCATTTAATTTTCAGTTGATGAAAGCGTAGCCCAGAGGTTAAGTAGCAGAGGTTCTCAGGCAGTCTGGTTCTAGGCATGCATTCTACAAAAGTTGAGTAACGTGAAAACAGTAATGCTTTCGTTGGCATTGTTAAGATTTTTCTTTCGTTTCCAATCGTTAAAATCATTTCTAATTTTTCTAAAGATGTCTTAAATAGTAGGCCTCCAATTCATTGTAGTACATCTTTAAGAAACATTTAAAAAAGATAAGCTTTAGGTATCTTTATCTGCACCTGCAACTATTATGCCCTTACATTTTGCGATCCAGTTCACCCTGATTCTAAACTGCAGTCTCTTGAAGACCCTCCCCCTCTTGGAGCTTCTTTGGGCGAACGCCTTAAACTGTGCCTTTGGGACCTAGTTATTATCTCCATCCATCCTCCTTTAGGAAAACGGCCATACTGCACTCTAATATTGATTATCGGGCCCACTGAAACCAAGGCGGCCTTTGAGTAACTTCGAGACAAAAAGCCAAAAGCAAAGAGGCAGGTAGGGAAGGACGATTTCTCCTCTTCTAAACATGAAGTACAAAACGGCTCAGAAGGGGGGCCAGGACCCGCAAAGACGAGGCGCCGCGGAGCCGCCCAGGGCGCGCCGCCGCCCGGGGGTCCAGGTTCTTCCTGGAGGTGGTGGCGCGTTCACGGGCTCCGCAACCCTCAACACACACTCAGCCTCCTCCTCTAGCCGGCCAGCCCGGCTTCCGCGAGCCCTACTCCGGGGCGGGCCGGGGCAAAGGCCCGGCCATGGAGGGCCCCGAACAGGCCCCACGGAAGGCGAGGTGCCGTCCGCTCCGGCGGCGACGGGGCCGGGGGCGGCCGGCGGCTCCCAGCCCCGACGGCTCCCGGCCCCCGCGGGTCAGGAGGTGACGGGAGGAGGCGGGAGGGAGAAAAGGGGGGTTGGGAGGGAGAGTCCCGCACGTCGGCACAGGCAGCTCTGCCAAACCTCCAGCTCCCCCAGCCCAATCGCCGCCGAGAGCCCCACGAGGCCAGGAGGGAAGTCCGCCGGAGCAGAGGGGAGAAAATTCAAAACGAGTCTACTCAACCTCGTCTTGGCTCCGAGGCCCTGCCGTGGAGACCAGCGCACTGCGCAGGCGCACTGCTCCCGGAGGGGCGGGGCAGTCCAGTAGGAAAGGGCCACCGTCGGCCACCGTCGCCCGGTCCCTTCCGATTCGTTCTCTTCTCGTATTTCCGCCCTTGGCCCTTCGGGATCTGAAAGCGTGAAACAACAGGTGAGAAGCCAGGTTGTGCTTGTGAATATGAATGGCAAAGAAACGGTGCGAGACTTTAGTCAGTCAAAGCTGAACGCGGGGGCAATCTGAAGTCAGGAGGATTTAATGCAAGCCGTTGAGCAAAAAAACTGCATTTCCCAGCGGTCAGAGCGCCGAGACGCGCTGCTTTCTGGGGGTTGTAGTACAGAGGAGTTAGTCTGAGGCATCCCGTGTAAAAATCAGCCCTTTTCTCTTTCCCTTTTTCTAAGGCATTTGAGGAGGGCATTTCCGTGTCTTCCTCGTTGGACACAGGTCTAAAGCTATGGGAGGAAGCCTTAAAAAGGTTATGAGGACACGTTGCCTTTAAGACTACGCTCTGCTAATCGATGCGTCGTCCATCTAGGACTCGGTAGTTGATGTTTGGGGGCTGGGCCCCCTCGTGGACTTGCTCTGGGAAGCGGGTCGGCCACCGCGGTTCCCGCACGCCTCGCCAGGGTTTCGCCTCCCCGTTTGTGTCTTGAGAGGCCGGATCCGGGCCTCTGGCCGCTAAACGCACGTTCGAGTGAGCAGGTCTTCTTGGTGTATTCCGCCATGGCTCAGCTCCAAGCTCGCTTCTTCACCGACAACAAGAAGTAAGTAGGCGGCTCCCCTCGGAGCCCCCCGACGGCCGCTCTGCCCCCGCGGTCCCCGCGGTCCCGGCTGTCAGCTCGGTCCCCCCCTCCCTTTCTCCCTACCCCTCCCCCCGTGCTCGCACCCGAGCCCGGCGCCTGCTCACCTGACGCGGCGCCTCGCGACGGCTCCTCGGGGAGTCTCTGGGACCGACCCCCGACGGCCCCCCCCCCGCCTCCTTCCTGCCCGGTCGCGTGACTCCGGCTAAGCTGATGGTGCGCGGCGCAAACGGAAGGGCCTCGAGTGGGCTGTCACCGCGCGGCGGGCCCGAGCGGGAGCCGCGGCGCTGCCCTGCGCGCCCTGCGGGGTCGTGGTTCACGGGTTCCAAAACACTTCATTTTCTTTTCGAGGACGTGCTAGAAAGATGCTTTTCTGAGCGAAGCAGTGGGTCTCCAAAGAGGGGCTTAGGTGAGGTGCATCCATAGGTATTTCTTGATTCGGGTCTGTATTTATTGATAGGGCTATGGTCTAGATCTCTGTGTGTATATCTGTATCTGTGTTATTGGTGTATACCAGCAAAACATTTTATGAGTGGTTCCCTCGGTGTGTAGCACTCATTTCAAACCTAATTATGTGCTGCCCTGTGTATGTTGTGGTCCTTTTTTGTATTTGCCTTGTCTTCTCAATAATGCTGTAAGCCTTTCTCAAGTTTTTCTGGTGTAATCATAAGTAATACGTATATGTCGTATTAAGATTGCATAAAGTAGAAAACTTCCACCTGAATTAATACTGTCTTTTTAAAATTTGTGTATATATGTCATATGATCAGTGTACATAAGTTTATATACTTGGCCTTACTATTTTAATATTAAGCAGTGCACTAGTATAACTATATTTTTAAATGAAAAAAAAAATTTTCCAGCTGAGACCAGGACTCAAACTTGCTATGTGACACTTTTTACTCATTGGCAGGCACCCTGCTACCTGAGGCAAGCCTCCAACCCCTGAATTACATCAACAATTAAACCACTATTTTAACACTGGAAATAAATTGATAAGTGCTCTGTGGGAGTGTGCATGCATGTGTGCTCACGTGTTTGTGTGTGTGTGGTGTATGGCTAGGTTCTCCAAAACATAACAAAATTGAGAAACTAAAAGTTTTCTTCCTTTGAGTTAATGCATTTTGGTCAGTAAAATGGAGGGTAATATTAAATGCACACTTAAACAATTTACATATACTGGGTATGTATGCTTGTGAGAAAAAGAATTGTGCTTCCCCCTACATTTTACTGGCCAAAATATTAAGTAAGCCTGGCGCTGGAGGCTAACATGTGTAATCTTGGCTACTAAGGAGGCTGAGATCTGAGGATCACAGTTCAAAGCCAGCCAAGGCAGGAATGTCCCTGAGATTCTTATCTCCAAAAAAACACCAGAAAACCAGAAGTGGTGCTGTGGCTCTAGTGGTAGATCACTAGCCTTGAGCTGAAGGAGCTGAGTGAGGAACAGCACCCAGGCCCAGAGTTCAAGCCCCACAACCGACAAAAATAAATAAAATTAAAATATGTATGTATAAAGTAAAAACTAATTTTTAACTTTTGTTATGTTTTTAGGGACTAAATGGCTAACCTTGGGATGGGGCATGATAAATGTATAGCTGTAATTACTCAAAGTGTAGTATGCAGAATTGTGCAGCCATTACCACAGTCAATTTTTAGAACATTTCTCAGTAATATTCCAGTCCTAAGTATTCTCTTAGCTACCACTTGGCTATACAGATTTGTCTATTTGGGACATTTTTTATAATTTGGAATGTCTTAATTTGTAGTCTTCTATGACTGGATTCTATCATTCACTATGCTGTTTTCATCCATGTTGTACTATATTTTAGTATTTTATTTCTTCTCTGACCAAATGTTTTAATGGATATATCACACATTCCTATTCTTGTTCAGTTAGGTTGTTTGCACATTTTGGTTATTATGAATAGTGGTTATATGAACATTCATGTACAAGTTGTGTGAACATGTGTTTTCATTTCTCCACTTAGATGTGGAGTTCCTGGGTGAGATAGTAATTTTACATTTTACTTTTTGAGGATCTGCCAGACTGTTTTTCAAAGAAATTACCATTTTTCATTACCACCAGCAATATATGAGGGTTCCAATTTTTCCATATCTTTACTAACACATTTTTTGATGTCTGGTCATTTGTGATCTCAAGTACTACTTCTTACTTACTACTACTACTACTATTACTATTATTAGTGCCAGTCCTATGCTTGAACTTAAGGCCTGGGCTCTGCCCCTAACCCTTTTGCTCAAGTCTAGCACTCTACCACCTAAGCAATGGCTCCACTTTGGCCTTTTCTTTTCTTTCCTTCTTTTTTTCTTTTATTTCTTTTTTTGGTAGCTAGTACAGATTAGACTCACTAACTTTCCTACGTAGGCTGGCTTTGAACTGAACTCCTCAGATCTCAGCCTCAGTAGCTAGGCATGAGCCACTGGTGTCTGGCTGGAAATACTTGTTTACCTGACTCAGAAGTAGAATCTCTCAGAGGTTACAGCCTTCATCTCTTACCAATCTGTTCCTGGCAATTTTCTCCAGCTTCCTTCATCGTTTTGGTCAAAAGTTCTCATATTCTGCAGCTTCTTCTTTACTTTCCTTACTACATTGCTTCTTAAGGACTGTACTCTGTGTTGTGTTGCTGGACACATGAAGTAACAAGACACCAAATCTTGAGTGGTTTGTTAGTTTTTTTTTAACCTTATTTGTTCAGGACTTTGTGGCAGCACATTGGTAATTATCATCTTTAGAAAAATTGAAAAATTTGTGTATTATGCTAGCTCTTTGTGTCTTAGATGGGAATCACAGTAGTATGTTAGTCCAGGAATATAATTCTCTCCTTAAAAAAAAAAAAAAAAAGACTGCCGGATGCTGGTGGCTCAGGCCTGTAATCCTAGCTACTCAGGAGGCTGAGATCTGAGGATCATGGTTCAAAGCCAGCCTGTAAGATTCCTATCTCCAATAAACCACCAGAAAACCAGAAGTGGTGCTGTGGCTCAAGTGGTAGAGTGCTCGCCTTGAGCTGTGA